CAGCTGTGTGGCGCTGCCCCTTTAAAATGCCACCTTGGCATTTCAAAGGGATAGTACTGCACAGTTGCGAACCCGGGATCAGCGCCGTGGAGCTCGGGGTCAGCTGGGGATTCCCCAGCTGATCCTGGGTTCTGTGCAGCATGCAGCGCAGCATGGAGCCTGGGGTCAGCAGGGGACTCTGAGTCCCCCGCTGACTCCGGGCTCCATGGCTTTGAAATTCCACCACTGACACCAGTGATAATGGAGTTATTGGGGCAATGCTCTGGAACTCCTCCACAGGATGCTGGGGTAGCATGCCTCCTCTCTCTGTGCAATGTTGTCAGGGCAAGAAGCCTACCTGCACATCTTTGACATTCCCGGGTCTGCCCTTAGAGTATTCTGAGCACCCCTGGAAAAAAAAAGTAGTGGGTGCTGAGCACCTCCTAACAGCCAGCTCCCTCTCATCCACGGGGTCTCCCGCCTGCCGGTGACCCCACTGATCAACTCTCCTCCCCTCCCCAGCATGTCCTGTGATCAGTTATTCTGTGGCATGCAGGTGGTGCTGGGAGGGAGGGGCAGGAACAGGACACACTTGGGGGAGGGGGGCTGAACTGGGTGGGAAGAGGCAGCATGGGGCCAGGAAGAGATGGTGTGAGGGTTAGGACCTTGGAGAATGGAGGGAAGTGAGGCCTGGGACTGAGTGCCCCTTGTCAAAGGAAAAAGCTGCCACCTATGGAAATGAGGGAGAAATGTGGTTAAAGCAGTGCTCTCCAATCTTTTTACACCCAAGATCACTTTCTAAATGACAGAACAAGCCAAGATCTACAGCCCCATCCCTTCCTTAAAGCCCCACCCTCTCTATTCTCCTCCTCTCCATCACTTGCTATCCCCAATCTTTATACTGCTGGGCTGTGTCTAGACTGGGAAGTTTTTCCGGAAAATTAGCCGCTTTTCCGGAAAAACTTGCCAGCTGTCTACACTGGCCGCTTGACTTTCCGGAAAAGCACTGATGAATTCATGTAAGATCGTCAGTGCTTTTCCGGAAATACTATGCTGCTCCCGTTCGGGCAAAAGTCTTTTTCCAAAAGACTTTTGCGCAAAAGGGCCAGTGTAGACAGCGCAGTAGTGTTTTCAGCAAAAAAGCCCCAATCGCGAAAATGGCAATTGGGGCTTTTTTGCAGAAAAGCGCGTCTAGATTGGCCACGGATGCTTTTCCATAAAAAGTGCTTTTGCGGAAAAGCATCCTGCCAATCTAGACGTGCTTTTCCGAAAATGCTTTTAACGGAAAAGTTTTCTGTTAAAAGCATTTTCGGAAAATCATTCCAGTGTAGATGTGGCCCTGCTTTTTTTCCCCAATTCTTCTGTAGGAAGAAGTTTTTCCAACATTTGGCCTGTCTAGACTGGACCAATGTCAGGAAAAAACCCTTCTTTTGGAAGAAGGAAAGAGGAACATAGGGGTGACCGAAAGATCATGTTTGCTCTTCCACTAAAATAGGAAGAACAAACGCATCCCTGGATGAACAAGAGTTTTTCTGGGATATCTCTGGAAGCCTGAAAAACTCCTGGGCTGCGTCTAGACTGGCAATTTTTTCCATAAAAGCAGCTGCTTTTGCGCAAAAACTTGCCAGTTGTCTACATTCCAGAAATGTTTTTGCGCAAGAGGGCCAGTGTAGTGTGCTAAAAACTGTTTTGCGCAAAAAAACCCCGATGGCGAAAATGGAAATCGGGGCTTTCTTGCGCAAAACCACGTCTAGATTGGCACGGATGCTTTTCCACGAAAAGTGCTTTTGTGGAAAAGCGTCTGTGTCAATCTAGACGCTTTTTTCCGCAAATGCTTTTAACGGAAAAACTTTTCCGTTAAAAGCATTTGCAGAAAATCATGCCAGTCTAGACGTACCCTTGCTGGGTTGAGACAGGATGTGTAGGCTCTGGGGTGGGAATGAGGGATTTGGGTTTGGGAAGGGGTGAGAAGTGCAAGCTGTGGGAGGAAATCTGGATGCAGGAGAAGGTGGATAAGGGGACACTGGCTTGGGGAGGGAGGGCTCCAGGCCAGGCAGTGTTGGGGTCAGATGTAGGGTTAGGGTTAGAGTTAGGGTTGCCAGGTATCCAGTTTTCTACCAGACAGTCTGGTATTTGCGCCCTCTGTCCAACAGAAAAATTCAGAAAATTCCGGACATTGCACGTCTGTTTTTTTCTGAATTTCCGGCTGGGCGCCGGATGGAAGCCTGGCAGAGGTGGGGGAGTGAATGGGAGGCGGGGCCACGATTGGCGCTGGGACTGTTCAAGGCCTCGTGATCGACCGATCGCGATCAACCAGTTGGTGACCATGGGGTTAAAGGAATCAAATACAATAATTGCAAAATTCTTAGATCAGGTTTACAGCAGTGATGGTATCAACTGCTAATTGATTAACTCTTTGCTTGCTCCCAAATTATTGGAAGGTCCTCAGTCCCATAGTTAGAATGCGCCCATTAGTCCACAGTCTGGAGATTACAGCAGGAAAGAGGCAAAATCGAGATGCCTCCAGAGCTTTTTATAGTGTCGGCTGTGAGGAGGGAAATGTTATTGTTTAAAAAAAGGCCTCAGCACAGGTAACAAGATGGAGTTTAGTGTCACATGATCTAGTCCAGGCATGTCAAACAGGCCTCTGGCGGGCCGCATGTGGCCCAATCAAAATTTTTTGCAGCCCACCACTACATTTTTATAAAAGAATAAAGTGCGGCCCACTGGCCGCTCAGAGCATGTGGCCGAATGCAGATCACAGCTGGATGGGCTGCTCTGCCATGGCACCACAGTGACTGCTCACGGCTGGCCAGGCTGCTCTGCACTGGGTACTCTAGCACATGCTCATGGCCAGCTGCTCTGCACAGGCATCAAGCACCTGTTCACAGCTGGATACTGTGTTGCAGCAAGCTGGGAGCTGGAAGGCCACATGCTCACTCCCTGTGCAAACTGCAATCAAGCCAAGGCAGCTGGGCCGGGTGGTGGGAGTGGACACTTTATAGGTAGGGTTACCCATCTGTACCTCCGGTGCCTGGCTCTGTGGGAGGGAGATTTGGTATGGGGGGGGCCCTGGCTCTGGGGGAGGAGGAGGCATTTGGTTGGGGGGGGCCTGGCTCTGGGGGAGGGATGAAGCATTGGGTTAGAGTGGGGTGGCTCTGGAGGAGCGGAGGGGGATTAGGTTAGAATGGGGGTATGGGAGTGCCTGGCTCTAGGGGAGAGGAGGGGGATATTTTGTTAACATTTTGTTTTTTATTTATTTAGTCCCAAATAAAATCACAAAATGTATATTAATTTTATATAAATAAATATGTCAAGTTTTTGCAGTTGCATGAGTATTATATGTTTATGCAAAATCTCAAACTTACAAAGTATCTGAAATTTTCACAGAAACCTGTTCTATTTGATTAACCACAGTCTATACTTGTTTTTATTTCAACAAAACAAGTTGGCTGTGTCTACATTGGCATGATTTGCGCAAAAGCGCCCACTTTCTTGCACAAGAGAGCGTCTACATTGGCACGGATTCTCTTGTGCAAAAGCATATCTCTTGCGCAAAGGCACATGCCAGTGTAGACGCCATCTTGCGCAAATACTTTAACGCAAGAACTCTTGCACTAAAAGTATTTGTGCAAAATCTTGCCAATGTAGACGTAGCTGTTATGTATTATATAAAAAATTCAGAAGTACCTTAAATTTATATTTAAATTAAAAATTATTTTACATGGGCAAATAACAATTTTACACATCAAATTACTGTATTATATTAAAACAAGACCTAAAAAAATATAAAATATACCTAAAACATAATCTAGAATAATAAATAATTATGACTTTCCAACAGAAGTACATTTTCTTTGGTGGCCCTGAAAGCTATCAGTTTTTGTTTGTGCGGTCCTCAGTAGGCTTCAAGTTTGACATGCCTGACTTAGTCAAATGCCTGTGCATGCTTCCCTGTGTCATGGCAGAGGTCATTACCCATATTTTAGTTAGAATGCCCACAGGAAGGTCCACTGTGAGTTATATGTTCTTCAATGGGCCATTCAATCTGAATAATCCCTTCACACAGTATGAGTTTGTTACCTGAAAGTACCTTGTGGGTGTTATCACAGGAGCAATACATTTGGAAATACAGGTACATAGTCAACATTGAAAGTTCAGCTACTAATGAGTGTTCAGCACCCACTACAGTTTTCCCATGCATGCTTCAGTCCTGGAACACCCATGGAGTTTGTGCTATTGTGACAAAGTAGGGATTTTCCCTTTTTATGTTGTGTGTGAGTCTTGAATCAATGCTATGTAAACGCGTACAAAGAGGATAATCATAGTAAGTAATCATAACTTTAATAGATGCAGAACATGACATACTTTGTACAAGATTTGTTGCAATTATGTAAAGGTGGCAGTAACAATAATTTACATGGATATATTTTCATTTGTATAATGTTACATTGACTGTGTTTCTTAAATCACGGTCCTTAAATTAGTCTGCAGCTACAGCTGTGCAAAGAATAATCATCTAGGTGCATATACCAAAGTATGTCTTTTCAGTGACTGGGGTTGAACATTGTTGCCAGCAACCGAAAAGCAATACAACGAATCTGAGTGCTGCTGCATTTGGTGATTCTCTCATTGCTCTGAGCCTCAGACTGGCTGCTCCCTCACTGTTGGGTGCTCAAACCTGCAGTGGCTCATGCTAGTAGCAACAGAAGAGATACATTGGACATTACAGGGTTCATCACAGGGTGTCAGGCATCACAATTCCAATGACCAGAAACCCAGGTTGCGAGGTGACTGATGTCCTTCAGTGGTTGCACTGAACAGCACATTTTCAGTCCAAGAAGCCCAGAACTGGATGGCACACAGCTCCATGAAGTGCTGTGTCCTCCAAGCTCGTCTACATCCAGGAATTCTGGCATTACCCTACCCCACCAGCTGTGGAGGTGACCGATTTCTTTGATGGACCAGGGAAGCTGCTTATCGTGCAACAGGAGTGCATGGCAATACATAAGGAACTCCACTAGACAAATGTTTTGCCCCTAGCCTCTCTGAAAAACCCAACACTCATTATCTATTTGTGGTTCTACTGCCCAGCTCCCTCATTTCATTCCAAAGGGATGGTGGCACCAACACAAAAGCTTTACGATTATTATTCATTTTACTATGTAACATAATAAGAACAGAACAACAGAAAAAAGGGAAGAGTACATACATGTATAAAATGCCAACCACTGTTCCCAAAGTCACTGCTCAGACAACTATGCTGTCTGTCTTGGGCTTCAGACACTATTCAATTCCCGCACTGCCCCATGGTCATGGTGCAGTTCTGTGATCTGGCACCTCCCCGTCATCACTAGGCAAGATTGCTGCTCTGGGCTGCAAGCGCTTGTGGAATCACATCGCTGGCTTGGGCCCCAGTACATCCACTTCTGCCACAGAGCCACTTGGCCACTGTGATATGCAAATGCACCACCTCCCCATGCTGCATTCCTATGGTTTTATCTTGTCCCATCACTGACTGGTCAGGATGTTGCAAAGGTCTAAGTAGATAGGATGCCGGTTGAAATGGGTCCCGAAGGAGAAGCAGTTCCCACCACCACCAATAACAAGCAGCTCTTTTTTGTCCAGCAGGAAGACACTGCTGTGATTGTGCAGCATTAACGGCCACTCCAGGGACACCTAGAAAAAACAACTGTTCTGAGCAGTGTTCCCAGTAAGCTGAGTGATTGGGTGGCCACCCAGGAGAGATTCAAATGCTGCCCAGCTGATTAGCAGAGTGCCCACAGACAACAGCATGTGTTTCTACTGGCGTTGCACGTCCACACATGCCTTCTGCACATGGATGGAAAAAATTAGAGGGAACATTGGTTGTGAGTCCTGGGCAGAAGGAGAGAAACATAGCACTTTCTGTTCCAGGCAAACTATCCAAAAATGCCCCGGAGAGGTGCATGCTTCCAAGAGGGAGCCCTGAATATGGTGGTGGTGGGATGCATCGATAAAGTACTAAAAATCTGGGATAACTTAGTGTATGTCTACGCTAGCTCGTTAATTCAAGCTAGGTAGGCAAATCAGGCAACCGGAGTTGCAAATGAAGCCTGGGATTTAAATATCCTGAGCTTTATTTGCATGTTCACGTCCGGCAGTCATTTTTAAATCCCCCTTAGTTCAAACGAACTGCGCGCAGCTACACACGGCAGTTTAAAGTTGATCCGAACTAAATCCTTAGTTCGGATTAACTGTTACACCTCTTTCCACGAGGAGTTAGTTCGGATTAACTTTAAACTGCCGCGTGTAGCTGCGGGCAGTTCGTTCGAACTAAGGGGGATTTAAAAATAGCGGCCAGACGGGAACATGCAAATAAAGCCCGGGATATTTAAATCCTGGACTTCATTTGTAACTCTGGTTGCCTGATTTGCCTGCCTGGCTCGAATTAATGAGCTAGTGTAGATATACCCTTAGAATAACAGAATCCTAGAGCTGGAAGGGACTTGAGGAGTCATCGAGTCCAGCCCCCTGCCCAAAGCAGGACCAACCCAACTAAATCAACCCAGTCAGGACTTTGCCAAGCCGGGACTTAAAAACCTCTAAGGATGGAGATTCTACCGCCTCCCTACAGAACCCATCCCAGTGCTTCCCCACCCTCCTAGGGAAGTAGGTTTTCCTAATATTCCACCTAAACCTCTCCCACTGCAACTTGAGACCATTGCTCCTTGTTCTGCCATCCATCACTACTGAGAACAGCCTCTCTCCAAACTTTTTGGAACTTCCCTTCAGGAAGTTGAAGGCTCCTATCAATTCCCCCCTCACTCTTCTCTTCTGAAGACTAAATAAGCCCAAATCCTTCACCCTCTCCTCATAGGTCATGTGCTCCAGCACCCTAATCATTTTGGTTGCCCTCCGCTGGACCCTCTCCAATGTGTACACATCCTTTCTGTAGTGGGGGCCTCAGAACTAGACGCAATACTCTAGATGTGGCCTCACCAGAGCCGAATAAAGGGGAATAATCACTTCTCTAGATCTACTGGCAATGCTCCTCTTAATGCAACCTAATATTCCATTAGCCTTCTTGGCTACAAGGGCACACTGTTGACTCATATCCAGCTTCTCATCCACTATAATCCCCAGGTGCTTTTCTGCTGAACTGCTACTTAGCCATTGGGTCCCCAGCCTGTAACAATGCTTGGCATTCTTCCGACCCAAGTGCAGGACTCTACACTTGTCCTTTTTGAACCTCATCAGATTTCTTTTGGCCCAATCCTCTAATCTGTCTAGGTCACTCCCTGCCCTCCACCGTATCTACCTCTCCACCAGGATGGAGAGACCAGGTGCCCAGAGATGCAGTGCGGATCGGCCCAACTCATAGTCCTCTCCCAGAAGAAAGAACAGGGCAGAGGCCAGGCTACTGAAAGAACTTTATTTATGGAAGCCAGTGACTTTTCACAAATGACAAAAAGGCTTCTGAGGAAAGAGAAGCCTCATCTAACCTAGCCCGGCCATAGTCCTGTCTCCTCTCTCTATTCAGCTTCCCAAAGGCAGTATCCTTGACCCTGATCTGTCTTCCTCCCACAGACTCTCACTTCTATGGCCTTGCACATCTTGGCCTCTCCCTCCTCTAGTTTCATTTTATCCCCTTCTGAATTCTCTGTTCCTCACTCAGGGGAGGGCCCAGGAGGTTGCTCCTCCCTTCATGGAACAAAGATTCCTCCTGGAAAGGGTTATCTCAGTACTTACAGTGTCAATCTGATACTCCAAGGTGAAACCTGTCATCAGTTCAATCACAGTCACACCAGGTACTGATGCAGAGTGAAGCCATACTCCTCCCACAAGCAGGAGTTTCCCATCATGCACATGGGCAGTGTGTGAATACCTGGGAAGAATTCAGAGAGAGACAACTCCAATGATGAGGAGAGCAAGAGGCAGGGCACATATTTATAGTCCTATGGGACTGCCACTCACCTGGGGATGAGAGAAGGGTGTGTCTCTACACGCTGCCACTCAAAGCCACTCCTAGTTGGTCTCAGAAAAAGCACCGAGTTTAACAGTTGCTCAGCTGTTCCCAGGCCCCCTGCAATGAGTGCCCCCCCGTTCCAGCTGCAGGCACTGTGAGAGTGACGGCCTTCAGGGACAGGTCCCCCAGTGGGAATCTAGGCAAACAGAACACAATGAGTTGTAGGGTTAAAGGACCAGGAGCCCAGAGATTAAATGGATAAGGAGAAGGGTAACAAGAAAGGTTTCTACAGGCATGTTAGCAATAAGAGGGTGATCAGAGAGGGTGTGGGGCTCTTACTAGATGAGGGAGGTAACCTAGTGACAGATGATGTGGGAAAAGCTGAAGTACTCAATGCTTTCTTTGCATCTGTCTTCACGGACAAGGTCAGCTCCCAGACAAATGCACTAGGCAACGCAGTATGGGAAGGAGGTGGACAGCCCTTGGTGGGGAAAGAACAAGTTAGGAACTATTTAGAAAAGCTAAACACACACAAATCCATGGGCCCGGATTTAATGCATCCGAGGATACTGAGGGGTATGACAGGGCATTTGCCCTGCACTGGCCCTTTAAGGGCAAACCCCAGCCCGGAGCAGGGCCTGAGAGTTTAGTACTCCCAGGAGCTAGGGCAGGGCTGGGGGAGGCAAGGCAGGGCTAGGGGAGCTCTGGCCAAGCAAACCCCCAGACTGCAGGGTCTGAAGCACAGCCTGCTGAAGAAACAACAACCCCTGGACGGGTGGCTCAGAGACTGACAGTGGGCCCTGCCAGAGGGCAGTGTCCTGAAGAGAACGCCGTGGCCAGGAAGAAAGAGGGGAGACACCATCCGAGGGAAGGCACCCAGCCAGCAGAAGAAGCTAATTCCTAGGGCAGACGGCAGGGGGTGCTGTGGTGGGGAGTGAACCCCCTCACAAGGGACTTCGCAAATGTCATTGCAGAGCCTTTGGCCATTATCTTTGAAAAGTCGTGGAGATCAGGAGAGATCCCGGATGATTGGAAAAAGGCAAATGTAGTGCCCATCTTTAAAAAAGGGAAGAAGGACAATCCGGGGAACTATAGACCAGTCAGCCTTACCTCAGTCCCTGGAAAAATCATGGAGGGGATCCTCAAGGAATCCATTTTGAAGCACTTGGAAGAGGGGAAATAGTGAACATGATCAGAAATAGTCAACATGGATTCACGAAGGGCAAGTCATGCCTGACCAATCTGAGTAGCTTCTATGATGAGGTAACTGGCTCTGTGGACATGGGAAAGTCAGTGGATGTGATATACCTTGACTTTAGCAAAGCTTTTCATATGGTCTCCTACAATATTCTTGCCAGCAAGTTAAGGGAGTATGGATTGGATAAATGGACAGTAAGATGGATAGAAAGCTGGATAGACAGTCGGGCCCAACGGGTAGTGATCAACAGCTCGATGTCAGATTGGAGGTTGATTTCTAGCGGTTCTTGGACCGGTTTTGTTCAACATCTTTATTAATGACCTGGATGAGAGGATGGATTGCACCCTCAGCAAGTTTGTAGATGACACTAAGCTAGGTGGAGAGGTAGCTATGCTGAAGGGCAGGGATAGGGTCCAGAGTGACCTGGACAGATTAGAGGATTGGGCCAAACGAAATCTGATGAGGTTCAACATGGACAAGTGTAGAGTCCTGCACTTGGGACAGAAGAATCCCAAGCATTGTTACAGGCTGGGAACCGAATGGCTAAGTAGCAGTTCAGCAGAAAAGGACCTGGGGATTACAGTGGATGAGAAGCTGGATATGAATCAACAGTGCGCCCTTGTAGCCAAGAAGGCTAATGGCACATTAGGGTGCATTAGGAGGAGCATTGCCAGCAGATCCAGAGAAGTGATTATTCCCCTTTATTCGACTCTGGTGAGGCCACATCTGGAATATTGTGTCCAGTTGTGGGCCCCCCACTATAGAAAGGATGTGGACGCATTGGAGAGGGTCCAGTGGAAGACGACCAAAATACTTAGGGGGCTGGAGCATATGACCTATGAGGAGAGACTGAGGGATTTGGGTTTGTTTAGTCTGCAGAAGAGAAAAGTGAGGGAGGATTTGATAGCAGCCTTCAACTTCCTGATGGGAAGTTCCAAAGAGGATGGAGAAAAGCTGTTCACAGTAGCAACGGATGGCAGAACAAGGAGCAATGATCTCAAGTTACAGTGGGGGAGGTCTAGGTTGGATATTAGGAAAAACTATTGCACTAGGAGGGTGGTGAAACACTGTATGAGGATTACCTAGGGAGGGAGTGGAATCTCAATCCCTAGAGGTGTTTAAGTCTCGGCTTGACAAAGCCCTGGCCGGGTTGATTTAGTTGGGATTGGTCCTGCCTTGGGCAGGGGGCTGGACTTGACGACTCCTGAGGTCTCTTCCAGCTCTATGATTCTATGAACATTTGTCCTCCCAGCTCTCCATACAGGATTATTCTTTCCTCTTCTCACCTCCCAGGGATCTGGTGTCTTCCCCTCTGCGCAGGAGCAGTAGCAAGGAAAGAACTGGAGGTAGACTGGGTATGGATGAATGTGAAGTGAACCTAAGGAGAACATGCCTAGCTCTCCAAAGGACGAGAATTCTCTCTGATCTATCGACAGTATGTACATGGCCCCCATTACCATAGGGAATATATGCTGAAACAGGTAGCCCACACAACTGCCAGAATTACTAGCACAATACTTGGTCTCCTTAGAGAATGTTCTCAACATCAAATAAAATCAATTAATGTTACTGGAGTGAGCAACCATTGGCCGCCTGCTCTAAATTAACTGGGATCATGACAACTAGGGTTATCAAGCGATTAAAAAATTAATCACATGATTAAACAATAATAGTGTGGAGAGGAAAAGGGAATAAGGGAATTTGTGTGCAGCCATCTTGGTCTTGTTAACAAGAGAGCAAGAGTCAGGCTAAGTCTGTGGCCTGACAACGCGAGATCTGTAATTAGACGCTGCCTTTGCCTCTTGCCTCCATACAGAGATAAGGATAGAATACTGACTCTGGCAGGGACCTTGAGATAAGGAACATCTGGGTGGAACTAAATAACTGTTAGCCACTTGTGTTTGTAATGGGAAGGAGACTAATAGTTATTGTTATTATATCTAATAGACAGTATATAAACTGCTTCATAATTGCTTGTATTCGAAGATCTGCCTCAGAGGGGGGCTTCCCCCCCCTGTCTGAACCAGTTTTTCCCTTGCTGCAGCTCATAATAAAACTGCCTCTGGCTACTTGTTGCTTACAAACGCAGAATGAGGACAATGTTTTCTTCCACAATAAAATACCTTTTATTTTAAATATTTTGGATATTTTCTACATTTTCAAATAGATTGATTTCAATTACAACACAGAATACATAGTACATAGTACTCATTTTAGATTTTATTACGAATATTTGCACTGTAAAACCAAAAAATGTATTTCAGTTCACCTGGTACAAATGAATGCTGACCCCTGAGCAAATACAACACATTAGATATCACACTCCAGACACTGTTAGGGTATGTCTACATTAGAGAGCCTAATTTGAACTACCTACTCCGAGCCGTGTGCAGCCGCGGGCACGGAATCCGCACTAACAGGGATTTAAAAATGGCGGCGCCCGGCAAGATGCAAATGAGCCCGGGATATTTAAATCCCGGGCTTCATTTGCAACTTCGAATGCCTACATTAGCCACCCTAGTTCGAACTAGGGTGGCAGTGTAGACATACCCTTAGTTACTATCTCCTTAATCATTTATCTGTTCATTTGACCAAAACATCCTATCATGATCCTGTCATCCCCTCGTTATCCTAAGAGGGTGTCATGTTACTGGATTTTAAAGGGAGAAGCCAGATCACTGCTGCACACAAGGGGGGTGTGTGTTTGCCCCAAAGTATGTACAAAGGAGGCCATGTGAGGTGTCAAATGAAAGCTTATGTTCTACTAAATCTATATATGCTATTCATGTGCTTGTATGATATCTGTATGTGGAGTTATAAATATATGCTCTGTGCTTATGCTGGAGGATTCTCTGTCTGAGACAGCAAGGCTCTCTAGGTGCCCAATACACACCTGAGGAATGTGTCTGGGACCTGCAAACCAGCCAGGGCATAATAGCTGCCAGCATGTGAAACTGGGATAGGTCACTGGGTCATGTGACCTGCTCTGGCCAGGAAGATGCCAGGAGAGGTATATAAGGCCATGTGGCAATCTCCATCTTGCCTTCAATTTTACTACTGATTCCAGATGTAGTCTTGCGAGGAACAGTGAGCTGGGAAGAATCGTGGGCCCATCCTGACATAGGATGTACACCAGAGACTTTTAAGATAGCAGTTTATAACATCTCTGCTAAGAGCCTGCATCGAGAACTTGGGTGATTTGATGCATGTAACGTATTCTCCTTAACAACGTTACTCTCATGCTTTTCTTTCTTTTAGTAATAAACCTTTAGATGATAGATTCTAAAGGATTGTCTCAGTGTGATCCTGTGGGTAGGAGCCTATAAATTGACCAGGGATTTGTGGCTGGTTCTTTGGGACTAGAAAGACCTGTTTGGGGTAGGTGAGATTGGGTTCTATAATCCCTCACCTGTGTGTTAGGCCCAGGGCTGACTGGGGCACAGGGAGAGCTGGGGTATCAGAGGGGTTTTGCTCAGTGTGACTGGTTTGTGACCTGTTTGGGAAGGTCTCCAGTCAGGGGCTGTAAGGAGTCCTGAGTTTGAGCAATTCGTCCTGAGCAGACGCCCTCAGCGGTGCCCAGACCCAGTCTGGTCTGTCACAGAGGAGTTGGTGTATTCTTGTGCCATCTCTTAAGAATAATTACTTGAGATATGTGTGTGCTTTTGTATCATCTCTTCTAGCGAAAAATGCATTGGTGTTAGCTCTTACCTTAGTGTGCTATTTTGCCAAGGTATAGCCTACTCTGGCTCACAGTCTTTGGTTCATACTGTTATTTATGCCTAAGCTTCCAGCTAGACTTGCAGAATACAATACATTCAGGTAATATTTCCTTTATTTAATATGTATGTTATTTTTATATGCAACATATTTTGATAAATTAATTAAAAACAATTATATAATGCTCTTTTTGTGCATTTTAATTGAATTCTAATTGCAGCTTTACATAAATCATATAGTAAATAAGAAATGTGTTATTCACTGTTTTCTAACATAATGTCAAAAAGAAGAGCTGGATTATATGTAAAGTGATGTTATTGTTTACATAAATGTGTACAGATGTGTACTCTCCTGGTTAGCAGAGAAGTAATACATTTTAATGCAAAAGCCACATTTTAGTTACAAATAACCAAGTTTACTGCTTACCAACCACGAGAATCACTTTCTACTCTCTCTCTCTCAACTTGCAACAACACTGCAGCATTAAATGGGCTCTCAGTATTGGATTGCCCAGCCACAGACCTAAGGCAGGCATCATTCCTCAGGGCCTTGTGGAGCACTTACCTTTCTGTAGAAGAACTCTTCCAAATGCAGGAAATACCAATCCCCCAGGACAGGCTGCATAGCAGAGCGGCCCCCGTAGATAAACAGATACTTCTGGCCTACAAAGAAAACACACTCAGTTGAATAAAGGCACTAGATCATGAAGGGTGACACAGGTAATAGATGAATCTTCTGCCTGGACCACTTGTGTGGCTACTGTCACTGGTATTTGCCTAGTTTATTGATAAGAATATCATGCGAGACCGTATCAAATGCCTTACTAAAGTCTAAAAAAAAAACAGGACTATGTAGCACTTTAAAGACTAACAAGATGGTTTATTAGGTGAAGAGCTTTCGTGGGCCAGACCTACTTCCTCAGATCAAAAAGTGGATGAAAATGGTCACAACCATATATACCAAAGGATACAATTTTAAAAAATGAACACATATGAAAAGGACAAATCAAATTTCAGAACAGAAGGGGGATAGGGGGGGAGGTAAATGTCTGTGAGCTAATGATATTAGAGGTGATAATTGGGGTAGCTATCTTTGTAATGGGTAAGATAATTAGAGTCTTTATTCAAACTTAGGGGTAAAGTGTCGAATTTAAGCATGTGGTATACCTAGACTTACTAAAGTCTAGGTATACCACATCCACCGCTTGTCCCTTATCCACAAGACTCGTTATCCTATCAAAGAAAGCTATCAGATTGGTTTGACATGATTTGTTCTTTACAAATCCATGCTGGCTGTTCCCTATCACCTTGCCACATTCCAAGTGTTTACAGATGATTTCCTTAATTACTTGCTCTATTATCTTCCCTGGCACAGAAGTTAAACTAACTGGTCTGTAGTTTCCTGGGTTGTTCTTATTTCCCTTTTTATAAATGGGCACTCTATTTGCCCTTCTCCAGTCTTCTGGAATCTCTCCTGTCTCCCATGATTTTCCAAAGATGATAGCTAGCGGCTCAGATACCTCCTCTATCAGCTCCTTGAGTATTCTAGGATGCATTTCATCAGGCCCTGGTGACATGCAGGCATTTAACTTTTCTAGGTGATTTTTAACTTGTTCTTTTTTTATTTTATCTTCTAAACCTCCCCCCTTCCCACTAGCATTCACTATGTTAGGCATTCCTTCAGACTTCTCGGTGAAGACCGAAACAAAGAAGTCATTAAGCATCTCTGCCATTTCCAAGTTTCCTGTTACTGTTTCTCCCTCCTCACTGACCAGTGGGCCTACCCTCTCCTTGGTCTTCCTCTTGCTTCTAATGTATTTATAAAACTGCCAACTCTCCTCAGTTGTTTGATTCCCATGGGACCTTACCTATCCGCTCTCTCTACTAAGCCACGTAAAATTGCACGTGGAAAGTGCATTATATTTTTTGGAGAAATTGGAACATACAGTAGGAGAGGTAAAGAAATCATTTCTTGTTGATAACACGTCTATGTCTGGAAAATTTCAAGAAGTTGAATTATCTGGAATACCACAGGGAAAATTGGAATATCAGCAGGACAGAATTAAATTAATTAAAGCAGGTATAAAAGCAGTGCGTGACAGATTTTTGAACAATAATCGTTGCGAAGTATCTGCTGCCTGCTCCATATTCGATACTGTTCTGTGGCCATCAGGTAGCGATTTAAGAAATTATGGTGATTCTGAGATTAAGATGCTCATTCGCCATTTTCATCATTTGATATCTAAAGATTCGCTTGAGAATATTACAGAAGCTATTCCTAATGAATGGTATGAAGTTAAAGTGTTATTTAAGCATTTGAAGCTAGAGGATATTCTAAAATCAACAGAATCACACAGAGAAAGATTTCCATTTTTTGTTAAGTTGATATCTATAATAGCAGTCCTTCCAACTTCAAAGGGTTTTTGCCTCATGAATTTAATTAAATCCAAAAACAGGTCCACGCTACAGAATTGCTACAGAATCAGGAGAGGGATAGCTCAGTGGTTTGAGCATTGGTCTGCTAAACCCAGGGTTGTGAGTTCAATCCTTGTGGAGGCCATTTGGGGCAAATATTTGTCAGGGGTGGTATTTGGTCCTGCTGTAAAGGCAGGGGACTGGACTCAATGTCCTTTCAAGGTCCCTTCCAGTTCTAGGAAATAGGCAATCTCCATTAATTTAATTTAAAAGAATTCTAGTTTAGATAACCTCTTGACAGTATCAATTAACAGACTGACAACTGATTTGTTCCAACCAGAATGTGCTATTGATAAGTGGTATTTTTCAAGTAAAATGCATCATATAAAGGGCCATGCAAGTAGGAAAAATTAAAAATGTAAGCAGGGTTTGCCAAGCGGCGGCGAGCCCTGCTTGCCAGCCGTGCAGAAGCACACGCTGCACATGCACAGACCGCGCTAACCGCGCTGCCTGGCCCCATCGGGCTAAAATCTACTCGCCACAGGCAAGTAGATTGCTTGATTTGTCAAGCCCTGTAGTATGCATATTGTAAAAATTTAATACAATAAACTATATTATCAAAAACCAATGTTGTTTTACTAATTATTCTTATTAGGAATTTATGCCATTAAAACATTTTTTTTGTTGGGGGGGGGGGAGTCCCTTTTTTTTTGTCTGGCGAGTAGGGTTTTACATAATTTGTTGAGCCCTGGGTATGTGGGTCCCATCTAAGGCTCCAGCACAGTTCAGGAACCCCAGGGCAGCAACTCTGGCCACAATCGAGTCCAGGTCTCCCAGGAGGATGACCCTCCGCACCAGGATGTGATTATTCCTCTTTACTCAGCTCTGGTGAGGCCACATCTGGAGTATTGTGTCTAGTTCTGGACCCCCAATTAGAGGAAGGATGTGGACGCACTGGAGAGGGTCCAGCGGAGGACAACCAAAATGATTAGAGGCCTAGAGCATATTACCTACAAGGAGAGGCTGAGGGAGTTGGGTCTATTTAGTCTTCAGAAGAGAAGAGTGAGGGGGGTTTTGATAGCAGCCTTCAACTTCCTGAAGGGAGGTTTCAAAGAGGCTGGAGAAAGGCTGTTCGCAGTAGTGATGGATGGCAGAACAAGGAGCAATGGTCTCAAGTTACAGTGGGGGAGGTCTAGGTTGGATATTAGGAAAAACTATTTCCCTAGGAGGATGGTGAGGCACTGGAATGGGTTACCTAGGGAGGGCGGTGGAATCTCCATCCCTAGAGGTGTTTAAGTCCCACCTTGACAAAGCCCTGACTGGGATGATTTAGTTGGGATTGGTCCTGCCTTGAGCAGGACATTGGACTCAATGACCTCCTGAGGTCTCTTCCAACCCTGTGATTCTAAGATTCTAAGATCGTGTCTCTGTCTGAAATACATGCTCTTGCTCAACTGATAGTGATTATGGGAGCTGGAGAAAGATGGCGATCTTGTTGACACTCACTAGGTGAAACTATATGGCCTGCATTATACAGGTCAGACAAAGTTACCATCATTATTCCTTCTAGACTAAAAAATGTATGAATAGGATAAGGCAGTCCCGTGTGTCTGGGAATTTCTATATGCCCAGATACTTGTAGACCCCATATCACCACAGCTAAGCATTCTCCCCACATCTCTGGCTGAGGAAATTCCCTTTTGGCCCTTTTACCTTGGCACGTCACTTCGGTTGTAGTATGTCTCCAACGCGATGAGGCTACGTCCTCAGCAGGCTGCGGGCTCACAAGTTCTACCACGGCACAGTCTGGGTCTGAGGCAGTCATAGATTCAGCAAACTTTAACCAAAGCATCCCCAAACCTGCATTTGTTGGGGACGTTCGCCCTCCCACTACCAGGGCATGGCTCTTTGAGACACACATCACAGTATGGAACAATCGTCCACCTGCAAAGAGAAAGAACACCAGGATTCAAATCAATACCCCTACAATAAGACTGAGGGTTACCAGACCAATTCCCTCTGCCCTTCTCCACAGAGCACTAATGGTACAGCACAAATGTCACCAGTCCCCTCCAGGTTACCCTATTATTATCATAGATCTCTACATGTACTCCACCGTAGAGGAAAACTTACTCCAGGTGTTACCAGGCTTTTCCATTCTAATGCTTCCAGCACGCCACTTGTCTTCATTTCTGATTAGGACATGGAGATCTCTCAGGCGGCAGTGCCGTCCATCTTGCTCTCCGAAGCCTCCAGTCGTGAGAACCACACATGGTTTGATAAGTACAGAGTGGTGGCCATACCGCCTCAGGCCAACATTTTCAGAGTGTATTGTGCACACAGATGCAGAGATGCTACCAGCAATTCTGAGAGGGTCATCAGCAGAGAAAGCTGCAATTTCAAGAGAATCACACTGAGGTTTGTTTGCAGTAATGCGCCAAACATGGTACACACAAGAAAAGACAAAAAGTGAAAGAATGCAAATTGTTTCACTTATCAAAGAGGTGCTTGATTACAGTGTATAAGTACCTTCACAAGGAGAAAATACCAAGTATTAAGGGGCTCCTCAATCTAGCAGAGAACACTGGAACAAGAACCGATTACTGGAAGCTAATCCCAGCCATATTCAAATAGAAATGAGACACAACTTTTTAATGGTGAGGATCAGCAGCCATTGGAATAAACTATCGAAGAGGTGGGGGATTCCTCATCTTCTATGATCTTCAAACTCAGACAGCCCCTTTCTGGAAGAGTCATTGTATGTGTAGGGAGGATACCCCATCATAGGCAGAATTATATGCTGTACCTGGAGGCAGGGATCAATTAAAAACCTATAAATGATGAAATTCAGCTGAGAGGGAGCAGGTTGAACCTTTATAAAGGGATGAAACTGAGAAAAGGTCTGTAGGGGAAAGAGCCTGCAGTCACCTTCTGGCAGAAGGGAGGATTTTTTTGTGACTACAGAGTCTGGCAAGAAGTCAAAGAGAAGAAATAATTAATAGTTACTCCCTGGGAGGAAGGATTTGGGGCTGAGTATTGCCAGCAGATCTAGAGAAGTGATTATTCCCCTTTATTCAGCACTGGTGAGGCCACATCTGGAATATTATGTCCAGTTCTGGGCCTCCCGCTACAGAAAGGACGAGGACACATTGGAGAGGGTCCAGCGGAGGGCAACCAAAATGATTAGGGGGCTGGAGCACTTGACCTACGAGGAGAAGCACAGGGATTTGGTCTTATTTAGTCTGCAGAAGAGAAGAGTGAGGGGGAATTTGATGCAACCTCCAACTTCCTGAAGGGAGGTTCCAAAGAGGATGGAGAGAGGCTGTTCTCAGTGGTGACGGATGGCAGAACAAGGAACAATGACCTCAAGTTATAGTGGGGGAGGGCTAGGTTGGATATTAGGAAAAACTATTGCACTAGGAGGGCGGGGAAGCACTGGAATGGGTTCCCTAGGGAGGGGGTGGAATCTCCATCCCTAGAGGTTTTTAAGTTCCAGTTTGACAAAGCCCTGGCTGGGATGATTTAGTTGGGGTTGGTCCTGCTTTGGGCATGGGACTAGACTTGATGACCTCCTGAGAGCCCTTCCAGCCCTAGGATTCTATGATTCTATGTGCCACTATATCTGAGATATCTGGGGAGTGGCCTACCAATCTAGGGGATCTGACTCCCTTGCATGCTTCCCTTCAAGGGAGCCAGGTTCTGGGGTTCTAAGCCCCACTCCCTAACCCACCTCATGGGAGCTGGAATCTGGGATGCTTTGTCTTTTGTAGAGGATACAAAAATTATATAAAATTACTCAAGTCAAAGGGAGACTGCGAAGAATTACGAAAGGGGCCCAGAAAAATTCAAAGTGGATAAATGCAAAGTAATGCATATTGGAAAACATAATCCTGACAACACACAAAATAATTGGATCAAAATTAGCAGTCACCATTCAAATAAAAGATTTTAGAGTCATTGTGGTTAGTACTCTGAAAATATCTGTTCAATGTGTAACAGCAATCAACAAGGCTAATTGTGTTCAGAGGGGTAGCAGAGTTAGTCTGTAACAGGAAAAACTTAAAAAACAACAATAGACTAAGTAGTACCTTAAAGACTAACAAAACATGTAGCTGGTATCATGAGCTTTCATGGGTGCAACCCACTTCTTCAGATGACAGGTGTGTTAGACGTCCAGATCAAAGAATAAATAAAGGAAGGGAGGGGAAGAGGAAAAAAAGAGAAAAAAGGAGGGGGAAAGAAAAAGAAAAAGAGAGAGAGAGAGAGAGAGAGAGAGAGAGAGAGAGAGAGGCTACATCTAGATTGCAAGCTTCTTTCAAAAGAAGATTTTCGGAAAAGATCTTCCAAAAGACGTCTTCCGAAAGAGTGCGTCCACACACAAAAGCGCATTGAAAAAGCCAGCTGCTTTTTCGAAAGAGAGCGTCCAGACTGATTGGACACTCTCTCGCATAAAAGGCCACCTGGAACCACTTCAGCCAGGGCTTTTAGGTCACCAGTTGCTTCCAAGTGCTGGTGCCAGAGCCTTGCAGAGACACATGCTTAAAGGGACCTCCTTAGACAGCCCTTTCTCTGCTTCTGCTGCCTGCTTGCTACCTCTTTGAGAGACAGCAAAGCTCTCGCAGTGCTTGCTGTAGTTGCCCCGCTTTTTTGGATACCACAGTTTTTCTCTTGGGGCCATGGAGCTGGAGCTGCCCCATGGCATGCGATGGCCCCACATGGCCATGCTGCAGTTTCTGCAGCACTTTGTACCGGCTGCCTTCCTCATCCTGACCATGCTCGACCCCGAGTTCATTCTGGGGACCCTCTCCCTGGGTGCAGGAGCTATACTCTGGTAACCACAGTGGAGAGGTGTTTTTGTTGGCTGGACACCAGTTCTGACCGGTGGAACTGGGCTGGTCATGGAGCGGTGGGATGACCAGCAGTGGCTCCAAAACTTCCATATGCAGAAGGCCACCTTTTTGGAGCAATGTGCCTGGCTCGCTCCTGCCCTCCGGAGACACGACACCCACCTGCAGCCTGCCATCCCCCTGGAGAAGTGGGTCACAGTCACCATCTGGAAGCTCACCACCCCAGACAGCTACTGGTCGGTGGGCAACCAGTTTGATGTGGGGAAGTCCACCGTTGGGGCCCTCCTCATGGAGGTAAGACACCCTGGGGCTAAAGTCCCTGCACAGTGGGGGGAGTCCTGGAAAAGGGGGACCCTCAGGAAAGTGGGGTTGGGGGCTGTGGGG